CATAAATAGAGATGAGCGAATCGAACTTGGCGAAGTGGAATTCGTTTCGAATATTAGGAAAAATTCGATTCGCACCGAATCCGAATATTAGCAAACTTCGGATGCGCGAATCGAATTTTTCCCGATCGGCCGATTTTCATCCCTTCTACAGCCGGCAAAAAGTGTCCCTGCAGAGAGCTCCGCTATTTCTGACAGTTCTCTGACAGTTCAATCACATTTACAGCGGTTGAAACATTGTATCTATTTGTTTCCATTTAGGATACAGATGTTTTTATTCGGAAACAAATAGATACAATGTTTCAACCGCTGTAAATGTGAAGGAACTGTCAGAGAACTGTCAGAAATAGCGGAGCTCTCTGCAGATACACTTTTTGCTGTACTGGAATTCTTCTTCTTTTCATTCTTCTTCTTCTTTTCATTCTTCTTCTTCTTCTTTTCATTCTTCTTCTTCTTCTTTTCATTCTTCTTCTTCTTTTCATTCTTCTTTTCATTCTTCTTCTTCTTCTTTTCTTTCTTCTTCTTCTTCTTTTCATTCTTCTTCTTCTTTTCATTCTTCTTTTCATTCTTCTTCTTCTTCTTTTCATTCTTCTTCTTTTCATTCTTCTTTTCATTCTTCTTCTTTTCATTCTTCTTCTTCTTCTTTTCATTCTTCTTTTCATTCTTCTCATTCTTCTTTTCATTCTTCTTCTCATTCTTCTTTTCATTCTTCTTCTTCTTTTCATTTTCATTCTTCTTCTTTTCTTCTTCTTTTCATTCTTCTTCTTCTTCTTCTTCTTCTTTTCATTCTTCTTTTCATTCTTCTTTTCATTCTTCTTCTTCTTCTTTTCATTCTTCTTCTTCTTCTTTTCATTTTTCATTCTTTTCTTCTTCTTCTTTTCATTCTTCTTTTCATTCTTCTTCTTCTTCTTTTCATTCTTCTTCTTCTTCTTTTCATTCTTTCTTTTCATTCTTCTTCTTCTTCTTTTCATTCTTCTTCTTCTTTTCATTCTCTTCTTCTTTTCATTCTTCTTTTCTTCTTCTTTTCATTCTTCTTCTTCTTCTTTTCATTCTTCTTTTCATTCTTCTTCTTCTTTTCATTCTTCTTTTCATTCATTCTTCTTTTCATTTTTCTTCTTCTTCTTTTCATTCTTCTTCTTCTTTTCATTCTTCTTTTCATTCTTCTTCTTCTTCTTTTCATTCTTCTTCTTCTTCTTCTTCTTTTCATTCTTCTTTTCATTCTTCTTCTTCTTTTCATTCTTCTTCTCATTCTTCTTTTCATTCTTTCTTCTTCTTTTCATTCTTCTTCTTCTTTTCATTCTTCTTTTCATTCTTCTTCTTTTCATTCTTCTTCTTCTTCTTTTCATTCTTCTTTTCATTCTTCTTCTTCTTCTTTTCATTCTTCCACTTCTTCTTTTCATTCTTCCACTTCTTCTTTTCATTCTTCTTTTCATTCTTCTTCTTCTTCTTTTCATTCTTCTTCTTCTTCTTTTCATTCTTCTTCTTCTTCTTCTTCGTCGTGCCCCGTGACTGCCCAAATGAGTGAAGTGTGCGGTGATTCTAAGATTGACGGCACTCATCTGCATGTCATACTGACTGACAGTATTATTTCTCTTCCCCAGCAGACTCCAAGGGCATTTAAATTAAAGGTACAGTGTTCTGCACTAATATAAAGGCTCTCTGAAGCCTAGAAACCCTTTAAATAAGTTAAATTGCAGCGAATAAATTCGCATCGAATCGAATTTCTTCCGCAAATTCGGCGAATCAGCCGAATCGAATTTTTGAATAATTCGCTCATCTCTAATCATAAACAACAATCATCAGAGGTAATAAAGTGTAAATTTACTGTATATTAAAATAAAAGTTATGAAAGAGAATAATTAGTAAAAGGGATGTGTATTAAAAATGTGGGCATATAAAATATATTTGTTTGTTTAACATAAATTAGATACTTTAAAACTAATGAAATTAATATTGAACTCAATCTCAAAGTGTTACTAATCCCAGGACCCTGCATTCACTATATCTGGTCTCCCACAGTACACACTACATGGAAAAGTATTTTAATAACTATAAACTGCTAAATTCCTTTTTCTCATCAGCATTTAGAGCCGTCTTGTGACTACTATCAGTGTTCAGTAGAACACTGGTTACAGCTTGTAGGAAGAGTTTTCTTTCTTGTAGGAGTTTTCTTTCTGCTCTAGGAGGATGCAAAACCCCTGACCTCTGTCTGGACAGTGCTGATTGGCCCTGTGGTGATTACATGCACTCTCCCAAGAAAAAAAAACCCCTCTAGAAATACACACTGAACTGAGCATATGCAGAGTGTCTCCACAAGATATTTCTTATCAGGAGATAAGAGGGGGACGCTAGAAGAAGGGGAGGATCAGAGATGTCAGGATAAAACAGCATTTTTACACAATGCAAACGATTAACCCTATGTTCCACAGTGAGTATAACAAGCATGCTTTGCTGTATATACAGACTGATTTTACTGTTGTGGGTTATGGAACACTAACTTTTTATTGGTGATCTTGATTCATTCATTTTATAATACGTTTGTGATTGAGGTAGGATCATTGTTGCATATGAGTTGTATGGGGGGTAGATAACCATGCTTCTGTCCCTAAATATGTTTAACCACTTCCAGACCGGACACTTTTACCCCCTTCCTGACCAGGGCAATTTTCAGCTTTCAGCGCTATCACACTTTGAATGACAATTGCACGGTCATGCAACACTGTACCCAAAGTAATTTTTTACCATTTTTTTACACAGATAAAGTTTTATTTTGGTGGTATTTATTCACCGCTGGGATTTTTATTTTTTTTGCTATGTAAATGAAAAAGTACAAAAATTTTGAAAAAAAAGTGTTTTTTTAATAAAATTTTGCAAATAAATAATATTTCATCATAAATCTTTGCCAAAATTTATTCCGTTATCTTTTTAGTAAAAAAAAATCCAAATTAGTTTATAACCAAAAATTATAATTTTTAAACTTTTTTTTACATTTTTATTTTATTTTTTTATATTATTATTTTTTATTTGTATTTTTTTTTTACATACTGTCACCCTAGCAGTATAGTGTCCATATAGGATGTAAAATCAATCATTTCTCTTTCTCTCTGTCTGCATTCTTGCACTCATTGAGAAGTACTGAGTGAGCTGTGATTGGTCACAGCTTGTCACATGGTACAAGGCTGTTGTGAATAGCCTTGTACCATGTGACCTCTGTGATCATTCACAGATTTTCACAAGTCATTCACAAGTGACATCTTGCTTACTACTTTGCATGTGATCACTGATTGGCCAATCAGTGATCACATGATCAGGACCTTGTACAGGGGTCCCGTCCGACTATCCATGTTTCACTGTGTCCGGAGGACACAGCGGGCACTGGATCGCGGTGCTGCGCACTCCCAGGGAGCGCGCACAAGCAGGGTGCGGGGAGGCCGTTTATAAACGGCCACCCGACCCTGCACTGCCACCTCCGGCCGTTTATATGCAACGGCCGGTCGGGAAGTGGTTAACGAATAAGGTTAAAGCCCTGAATACATGTGCAGTAGAAAGTGAACAGGATTTCAAATAGAGGAACATAGTATTAGGTTGCATAATAGGGAGAGTAGGTGGGTTGGAATCATGTGGGTGAGGAACATCTTCTATCAGGATATAGCACACAAGATTATATGTGAACAAAGGGGATAAAGAGACATGAAGCATTGCATTATTGCCACCTATAATTAAAGCAAAGGTTATTGCAACAGGGATATTTCTGATGCAGTATTACCTTCCTGTAATGAGGAGGTACTATTGATGGTGATGTAGGTTATGCATGTGTTTGCAAATGTGTGCTAATTAAACCCCTGTTTTTAACGCATACTGTTAGACATACTAATTTGGTTTGTTTGCAAGCTAGTTGGTAAGTTGTGCTGGGAATTTTTATTGTTTGACATGTGTGCTCTTTGCTGTGAAGGCCAGTTATAGACTGGGGCAGTGGCCATTTCTTGTAGTATTGACCTGTTGGCGAGGTGGTGCACTGGACACCTTGACTGCCGTTGTGCTACATGCTGGGTGTTCAGTTTGCTCCTGTACCTTTAAGGAGGGGTGGGCTCTCTCAGGTTCACCTGCCCTCAGTATATCCATTAAATACATGCACCTCTACTATGGGGTTCTCAAAATTTGTAGCGTTAAGAACTGTAGAATATCGGGGTGCCATGAAGAGGCTCTGCAGCTTACGCATGTGTTTGCAATTGTGTGCTAACTAAACCCCTGTTTGTAACACAGACAGGCTACATCTGTTTGTTTGCAGGTTGGCTGGCAAGTTTGAGCTGGGAATTTTTCCATTTTATTGTTTGGCATGCATCGTCCTTCCATGTGCTCCTTGCTGTGAAGGCCAATTATAGACTGGGGCAGTGGCCATTTCTTGTACTGTTGGTGATTGCCTGTCTAATTTGAGGCTCATGATCATGATAATTGTGGTGAGTGGGAACACTTTTAGTGGATTGTGGGTATAGATGATATCACAGATTTATTTTACCTATAATAAACTGCATCTTATAAAACACTGTTGGATACCAATATCTTTGTATTATTATTTATTGTTCAGGGAGAAGAGAGTACTTGTGGTGCTTGAGCTGTGCAGGTATAGAATAAATACACTTATTGATAAGCAGAATGTTGTTATGGCTTGTCAAACTCTATTCTTCTGTTAGGTTCAGAAAACTTTGCACATGACCCCTTTTATCATATAACTGTTTGTCATTTAGCTTGATATTTTTATTGATAAATTGTCTAGGAAGATGTTTAAAGACTTTTTATTATGAGCACATACTGTATATTGTAGCTTTATTAACTGCTTCCCCACCGCCCTATATCAGAACTACTGCTACAGGGCAGCAAGGCTGCACAAGATCACGTATATATGTGTAATTTTGCATTTCCGCGTAGGCAGCTAAAGCTGTCGATTGCCAGGTCCCAGCCAGAGATTCCAGCACCTGGAACATTAAATGGGAGAGGTGTGTACAAACAACACAGATTTCTCCCCTGTCAGCACGAACAGGCTGCTTTGTATTGCTCTGCTGTGCAGAGCAATAAAAAGCAGTTTGTCTCCCTAGTAAAACACACACAGCACATAATGTAAAAACAACACAGCACACAGTTAACCCTTTAATCACCCCAGAAGTTAACCCTTTCCTGCATAGGGTCATTAGTACAGTGTGCTTTTTATTAGCGCTGATCACTGTATTGGTGTCACTGGGGATGTCAGTGGCAGTTAGTTCCCCCCCAGTGTCAGAATGCCCGCCGCAGTCTTGCTATAAGCTGCTGATCGCCGCCATTACTAGTATAAAAAAAAAAATTCCAGTATATATACATCGCCATTTGTAGACACTATAACTTTCAGGTAAACAATTAATTTACATGTATTGGCATTTTTGTTTTGCAAAGACATGTAGCAGAATACATTTTGGCCTAAATTTTTAACGAAATCTGATTAACCTTTTTTTTTTACTGGTTATGATTTATAGCAAAAAGCCAAAAAATATAATTTTTTTCAAAATTTATGGTCTTTTTTTGTTTATAGCACAAAAAATAAAAAATGCAGGGGCGATCAAATACCACCGAAAGAAATCGAAAGAAATCTCTAATTTGTGGGGGGGGGGGAAAAAAGGGCATAAATTTAATTTGGGTGCAGTGTTGCAGGACCGCGCATTTGTGATTAAAGTATCGCAAAAAATGGCCTGGTCAGGAAGGTGGTAAATCATCTGGAGGGCAAGTGGTTAAAAGAAGGAAATATGTACTGAAAGAAGTACTGGGGTTACTATTGCTATATATGTGGATTTCTCTGGTTTTAGTATTTTCTCAGTCACTGACCCCAAAACAAGCAAACAGATTAGAAAGAGTGACGTTCTTGATACTTGTAACCCTATTGATGGCCTAGCTCAGTTATGTAAAACACAGATGCTTAAAAGTCCCTTTGAGCTTTTTTGTAGAAAACACCATATTAGGAAACTGTGCACAAACCTAACCTTTACAGGATAACATACCATTTTTGTTTAATTTAGAGCAAAGTCAGAACTTGAGTCCAAAAAGGGGTAACATTAGGCCCTTATTAAAGCATACTTTAGGACCATTACTACTCCCAGTAACTTCAGTAGTAACAGTAAGTTCAGTAGTATGTAACACTGGATCTTAAAACTACTTTACTGCAGCACAGGGTTGGTGAGTTGAGCTGGGAATTTTTCCCTTATTGTTTGACGTGCGTCGCCCTTCCATGTGCTCCTTGCTGTGAAGGCCAGTTATAGACTGGGTCAGTGGCCATTTTTTGTACTTACTTTTTTTAGTTTATCTGGTTACTAAACTACCACTACAGACCGCAGACCAACACTTCTGTAGCTAACAGGGGCGGACTGACCATTTGGAAACCCGGGCGCTGCCCGAGGGCCTGGGGTCAGTTGGGGGCCCCATGAGATGCCCCTGGTACCTTTTGCATAGGCTTTTTTTGAGTTTGGGCAAGGACACAGGGGCCCCATGATCCCCTATTGCCCGGGGGCCCCATGAGTTGTCAGTCCGCCCCTGGTAGCTAACCAGACATCTCTGCTGGTTCCTGCTAGTAACCACCAGCTGACAGACTGCAGACTTTAACAGCACTGGCCACTATTTGAATAGCTGACTACAATAATCACCCAATATTGTGCTGTTATGTGCCCAAAACATATTAGCAGCCTGCAGCACCACAGCAAATTTGCAGCTCTGCATTCTCCAATGTTCAGCTAGTAAATGACTGTTAAACAGGGAAACCTGTAGGACATCACCAATCTGGGGAAAAAAAAAAACCACAAAGCACAACACTAGATGACAATGAGAAGCTGTCAACCAACCTGTGCATGCTCCCAGCCACTACGGTTGCTACAAACCCCTCCTTACATGCTTGTTACAGTTATCCAAGGTACATGTGTCAGAGCTGGGCTCCTGCTACGTAATGAGCAGCTCTTTTCTTTTGGTGCTGTTCAGCTGTCAGTTATTTACCAGCCACTCGTCTTCACAGTGACTCACCTGGATACCTTTACCTGCCTCATTAGTCCAGTGCACAGCCAGCCATTTTTGCTATTTTAGAAGCTTAGCTCATTTCCTCCTTGCCCTTGCATGGTCTATGATCTCCAGTGTGTTCCTGCCTGTGTTCCTGTGTACAACTCGGTCAGGCTGACTTCTCTTCTGATTTCTGTTCCTGATCTTTGGTTCCTGAGTATGCTGTCTTCTGGTTTTCTTTCTCTGGCTCGTCTGATTACTTACTCTGGCATCCAAACCCTGGCTTTGGTTTTGACTACGCTCCTGATTTATGTAATATTTGCCATTTCATTAAAGGTTCTGTCTCTACCTGGTTCATGGATCCTGACATTATGTTTTTTAGAAATTAGTAAAAGCCTTTGAAGTAGTATGTCAATAAGACAACTAGTATTTTCAGAAGGAGGTATAAGCAATGGCAGCCTCCATATATCCTAAGTATAGTTTTATGGCCCTCTTTTCCTTCTAAACAATTTTAGTATCGCATACATGTAGGTTGATTTACCCACTGGCTTCTTTCCACTTTCTGGCACTACCCACCCCCCCTTTGAATTTGAATACTTTGAATTTAGCCTCTCTAGCTCTAAAAAATGTTTATGCATAACAATTTGATTTACTAAATTGCAGTAATACATACCACATTTATCAGAAATGTCAAATCAGTTAGCAGTACTACAGTATGCTCTGGTGCTGCTTGATTTATCAAAAAAGCAGATTGTTTTAGAAAATATTAAATGGAAAATATTTTCCTAATCTTAAAATTATGTATGTTAAAACCTAAAACCCAAGTCATGAAATGTACAGTACATACACTAGAGTTAAATGTACGATACCGTAAGTAAACAGACCGATTTGTAGTACCTCAATAAGGTTAGAATTTTAGAATGTTCACAAAGCAGTGCTAAAGAATGACAATTTGAAACTTGTCCATGTGTACTTTACATTATTTGAATGTATTTTTTTTTATCATGTTTATATTTTATCTATATAGAACTATTTGTTCAAGATCTGTATTTGTTTTGTATTCTGTTACGTCACATTTAATCTGTTAATATACGGTACTTGACAAGGGGCCTAATTTCCAAAAGCATTTTTTTTTTAGCATTGTTAGCCAATATTACCCATACATTTGACAATACTTTTTTGATCATCTTGTGTATTTAGAAACCATAAAGAACTGAACTGTAACCAACCATCAAATTTGTGGTCAAAATGTGGTGAACCTGTCAAATGTCTTCCTAAGCAGTTAGCACAGCACACATAATTAAAATTAAAATTGTCTTCCAATCTACCACTTCAGAGACTTTCATACTGTATATTAATGAGTAAAATATAATCTCTTACGGGTAGAGTCCATGCTGCCAACATTTATTTTTTTAATTTTTATTCTAATTTACTCAGAAACCACAGCCAAGAATCTGTCAATGAGGAACTAGTAGAACACTGAACGTTTGATGCAAGTATTCTATTTTTGTTCTTGCAATGATGAAAAGAGTGTCGCATCACAATTTGGCAAAATCTACCTGTATAGATCTATTTTGAAATGCATAGCTTTAAAATTTTCAGTTCAAAAGGCAACTGCTATTAATTATTGTGTGCCAGTAGAGGCAGTATCACTGCATAATTTATATACAGCCAACTATACTATAGAAATCAAGAGCCATGGGACTCTTGATACTCATGTCTCTGACACTGGGCCTGAAAACTGAAGAGTATAATAATTCATTCAATCAAGAAGGCAAGTAGATATGGACAAATCTTCTGGTTTGATATGCTAGGGACTTGTTGAATCCTGTTTGAAATTCCTGAAACCTGAGATTAACCACATGCCTCCCAGCCACTGTATAAATACGGCGGCAGGGCTGGGCAAAAGCACGTTTAAAACAGGTAGGGGGCATGCGCGAGGCGCACCGCCGCCCTACCTGTCCCGCCGATCACAGCCGCGGATGTCAGTTGCCGGGTCACAGCCGGTCGTTACCAGCTATGTCCCGGCGATCGGCGGCAATCTCTGACAGAGAGCACAGCTGCAGTAGCTGTGCTTTCTGTCAGTTCCCTGACAGCTCCAGTACACGCTGATCGGGACAGAAGAGTTTTTCTCTTCCGATCAGTGGTGTTCCCTGCAGTACACACCCCCGCCCCCTAGTAAAACACTCCCCTCACACAGATAACCCTTTCCCTGAATATTAAACTTAACCTCCCCAGTGCCATTAGTACAGTGTCAGTGTTTTTGTTTTTGCACTGATCACTGTATTGGTGTCACTGGGGATGTCAGTGACCCCAAGTCAGTACCCCCCAATGTCAGAATGTCCACCGCAGTCCCGCCATAAGTCGCTGATCACTGCCATAAGTCGCTGATCTTTGCCATTATAAAAAAAAAACTAAAAATCCCAGTATCTTTCCATTTGTAATTGCTATAACTTTCACGTAAACCAATTAATTTACACGTATTGGGTTTTTTTTTTTAGCAAAGACATGTCGCAGAATGCATTTTGGCAGAAATATATGACTAAATTTGATTTTGAAATTTTTTTTTACTGGACATGCTTTTATAGGGAAAAAGTCCAAAATATTGTTTTTTTTCCTCAAAATTTTCAGCCTTTTTTTTATATAGCGAAAAAAATAAAAACCGCACAGGCGATCACATACCACCACAAGAAAGCTCAATTTGTGGGAAAAAAAGGATGTAAGTTTCATTTATGTACCGTATTGCATGACCGCGCAATTGTCCGGTAAACTAGCACAGCGCTGTATAGCAAAAAAATGGCGTAAATTGCAGTATCTATACCATAGTTTGTAGACGCTATAACTTTCACACAAAGCAATCAATATACACTTATTGGGATTTTTTTACCAAAACATGTAGCAGAATACATTTTGGCCTAAATTTATAACCAACTTTGAGTTTACTATATATTTTTTATAGCTGAAAGTAAAAAATATTGTTTTTCTTCAAAATTTTTGGCCTTTTTTTGTTTATAGCTTGAAAAATAAAAAGTGCACAGGTGATCAAATACCACCGAAAGAAAGCTCTATTTGTGTGAAAAAAAGAACGTAAATTTTGTTTGGGTGCAGCATTGCATGACCGCTCAATTATCAGTATAATTAGTGCAGCGCCGAGTAGCAAAAAGAGGCCTGGTCATTAAGGGGGTAAATCCTCTGGAGCTCAAGTGGTTAAAGAGTAACTCACATTTGTTGAGAAAAAAATCTAATATTCCCCTCTGGGTGATCTGTGTACATTGCAGGGATTTTAGCCGCTTGCCCTCGTGAGGATTTACCCCCCTTCCTGACCAGGCCATTTTTTGCTTAACGGCTCTGCGTTACTTTAACTGACAATTGCGCGGTCATCCAATGCTGCAGCCAAATTTAATTTATGTCTTTTTTTCCCACGAATTGAGCTTTCTTTCAGTGGTATTTGATTCTCTGTGCCTTTTTTTTTTTTCGCTATAAAAAAAAAAAGACCGACAATTTGAGAAAAAAACTATATTCTTGACTTTTTGCTATTAAACATGTCCAGTAAAAACAATTTAAAAAATCTAATTTTATCATAAATTTAGGCCAAAATGTATTCTGCTACGTCTTTGCTAAAAACAAATACAAATACATGTAAATTAATTGGTTTATGTGAAAGTTATAGCGTTTACAAACGGCGGTATATATACTGGATTTTTTTTTTTACTAGCAATAGCGGTGATCAGTGACTTATAGCGGGACTGCGGCGGGCATTCTGACACTGGGGGGAACTGACTAACTAACATCTCCAGTGACACCAATACAGTGACAGCCGTGGCTGTAAATGGCGACGTGGGTAGGGCGCACACGGATCGCAAGCGCCCCCTACCTGGAAATGCTAAATCATGTACATATACATGATTTTGACCACCCCTGCTGCCCTGTAGCAGTATTTCTGCTATAGGGCGGCGGCGGGGTAGCGGTAAACAGACTTTTTTGCAGATTCCTACCTATTGTTATTCTGAATATCTGCTTGTCTGTGTCCTTTTGTAAAATTATTGTGAATAGGAGTGATTTCATAACAATCACTCCTATTCACAATAAGCAGTGTTCTAATGAGGAAAGGGGAAGGGTCTGCATCCTTTTGTACATGAATTTTGGGAGCATCCCTTTGGGAGCATCTCACCAAAAATTACGCCCAAAATCTGATTTAGTAAAGACTTATGAGAAAATCAATAAGCTAATCACAAAAGCAGGGAATTAAATTTCTTGGGGGGGGGGGGTTCCGAGCAAGGCAAGGTAATTTTTCATTATTCAACTCAATTGACTATATGACTATGACTTGTGTAACAAGTGTGAGGATATATATTGTTTTAATTATCGTTATAAGCTATTTTTTATCCCATGAAAGTGGAGTTACCCTATAACCACCAAAAAACCCCTTTAGGTCTAAGGCTATTTATTTTTAAAGTTAATAAGCAAACTTTTTCACTTTAGGAAGTGGGGAGCTAGACAATTCCATGGGGATATATTTGAGCAAAAAACAAAAAAAGACTGCACAATGGTGAAAGGGTCCATTTTGTATGATTTTGAGAACAACATGGAAAAAGACACAATTCCATAAAAATGACATGCTAAGGAGGAATGTAAGCTGTAGGTGGTCTTAAGGGCAGTACAACTTTCACAGCAAAATTGTATTCTGGCTGAACATATTTTGAATGTGTAATTAATTTTTTTTACCTTTTACATTTAGCTGGACAGAACAATACGTTAGAACCTGAATGGGCAAGAAATAGTAAGCAAAGCATGTTTTATCTTGCAATATAAATGAGTGTATTATCAGAGATAGTAGCCACGAATATTGTATAGTGGCTGGACAGCATGTAAACAGCCTGAATAGGCTGAAAAATAACAAAGATTGCAGCCTAAAACCTGGGTATCTCTCTAACACAAGGCAGGATTTACTTTGCAACGCTTTGTAATTTTTGCAGCGGAGATTCAGCTGAGAAAACATTGTGTGACCCCATTACAGTGTCAGAGCACTGTAGTAAGTCACAAAGTTCAAGGAGCAGCACTGGACTTACCCTGCAGCAAACATTAGAAATTTGGAAGTTCAGTTATTGAAACATTGTGTGACACCTTTACAGTGCAAAGTCCCAGAATAGGCCAGGAGATATGGCAGGAGCTGGCAAAGTTGACAAGCTAGAGAGGTTTATCTGAAGAAAAACACACACACATGGCACTTTTACAGTGGTGAAGCACCAGAATAGGCTGTAAACTTGTAGGGTAAATCCTTCACTGCACACTGGAGGTGCAGTGCAGGATTCACCCTACAGAAAACATTAGAAATTTGGCAGATGAGGTCCAGATCAGAAGAAAACCAGAATAGCTTAGGATAGGGTGTAGAAGCTGGTAATGCAGGTATGTCTTTTTTGGAAGGGGGCTGATGATGGACAGGATTTTTAGGGGGGCAGAATGAATGAATGAAAAGTTTAGTCTGTAGTATCAGTGGCAGCAAATGTGTAGTCATTAGTAATCTAAGACTAGCTATATTAATGAAAAGGAATCTGTCCACACTGTCAGGGGACAGTCAGATTCACCTGTCCATAACAAAACCTGCTGCTTGGAAGGCCCTCTCAGACAGAACACTGACTACATGGCAAGACTGAAGCTTTAGCATTTGTGGCTGTATAGAATGGCCATTCTAAGATAGAAAAGGAAGACATGCCTTGCATGGTGGGCCCATAAAACACATTGTCCTGCAAAACCTGCTTGCCCCCTACTATTTCCACAAGCAGAACCTCTGCCTCTCACTTTAGGCTTTCCTGGCATTTTTTAATACAGAGGAATGCATAAATGTAATGGCAGCTCTGGTAATATAGGAAATAAATGTATATTTTGGTGCACACTATTTTTCTGCACAAGTATGCAGTGACATACTGCAAAAGGTAGTTTTGTCTTGATCAGCAACAAGTATACATTTCAGCTCCCAAAATAAGAAAAGACCTAGCAAAATAAAAGTCAAACCTCCACACCTTCTAAACCATGAAACCCTAAACTCCAACCTTTTTTCAATACCTTTGTCCATAGGCAGAGAAACAAGACATATTTAAGAGGATAGGTAAAATGGCTGAATGATAAAACAGAGAGTAACTATAGCTTGCAGTTTACTAAACAGATGCAAAGAATAAAGCAATAATGCACGCCAGGTTCAGGATGGCAGAGAGCAGGCACACACCATAGAATGATACAAAACCAATTATAAAAGCTGCACAAACATGGACTCTTCACAGCAAAGTTTTTGGCTTAATCAGGATAATATGTGGCTGCATAATTTTGTCTATATAAAACTTACTACAACTTGCTGAAAATCACTAAAGTAAAACATTTCAGAACACAATCTCATAAATAACATTCCTATCAAATGAAATTCAGGGTAGCACTAGGTAGCTACAGAATTTGGGGAAATAGACTTAGAGTTAAAAGTACCCTGTGCCTGCATATGTGCATGGTAAAAAAGGGGCATGCCACTGTACCCCACTTGTACTTGCTTTTCCTTGTACATGGGGTGACCCAAGGTCATATTTGGGAGTGTCTTAGGGTTTTGGGTGTTGGTACCATATTCCAAGGTGATGTGTCTGCCTTCAGGTGCATCTGTGGATGATGGTTAAGAGGGCTCTACAGCTGAAGCATGAAACTGAGCTGGGTGACCATACAACTGTGTAGTACTGCCACGATCCATCCAGTTTTGGAAACAATGGGGTTTATTTACTAAAGCTGGAGAGTACAAAATCTTGTGCACTTCTGCATAGAAACCAAACAGCTTCAAGGTTTTATTGCCAAAGCTTAACTGAACAAGCTGAGGTTAGAAGCTGATTGGCTACCATGCACAGCTGCACCAGCTTCTCAGTGTACCAGCTTTAGTAAATCTCCCCAATGTGGGAAGCGCAGGAGGCATCTGCCATTAAACCTCTAGTAGGAAAAACATTTGTGGATCATCAATTTGAAAAGACCCTTCAAAAATCTCTATTGAGTCACTCCGTTGGTCCCAATAGATTTGGATAGCCTTAAGGAAGGCACAAGTGCTACCATATCATCTGTAGGTGTCTGTCTTTTTTGGCACTGCAGAGTTGGTAAAGTATCCACCATGGCTTGAACATGATGGTATTTGCTTGTCAACATGTAAGAAAGTTGATGGTCAGTACTTCCAGGAGGTTAGATGTGCGCCAAGTCAAAGATGGAATTTGGGACTCAGCACCCCATCAACAATAAACAGATTGCATGTCCTCCATAGGCTTGTTCAACCAAATGGAACAGAACTACACAAAGCTTGTCCCTTGGACCAGGTGAACATTTTTTGGACACCTTAGTGTCCTTC